GCATTTCTTTGAGAACAGTCAAAAACAAAACCAGAAACAGACATAAAAAAAATCCCGTCCCAGTCATCCACCAGATGATCGTTAGAATTACAGCCAATGCTTAAGCAATACAACATCGAGCTAGGAAAGTCGTCGTGTGGTTGTTCTGCTTAGGGAGTAGCTTTTACTAGTTTACAAAGCGTTGGACAATCTATTTCTCTTTTGCTCTAACTAATTTTCAGAAGCTGCAATATAGAACTGCAGTGTTAGTGCAAGAATATGCTCGTCTTCACCAAGGCCTGGGATTTACATTGCAGAAATTCATGAAATTTACATCACTCCAAGCGTACCATGTCCAAATCACCTAGAGTCACTATTACAGACTTTTACATTTCTACCCAAGGAATGGCTGGGTTTCGAAGCTTGATCAACCAAAGTCTTTTACATTGAACTGCAATTAAACAAAGCGGAGTACCAGTTAAAGACAAAGAACACAAGTACTCAGCACATATATGTGTTGACGCAGGACAGTATGTATGTGTGTGTATATATATGCATAAATATGTATATGTTACATTAAAAGGAGAGTACCATTCAGGACTTCTCAACTGCAAGAATCCTTTTACCACCTCCAAGTCTTGAAACTTCAGCCCATTAAATTTCACACCAAGACAATGAGAACTCAATATTTCCCAGATTGAATTATTATTTCTATTTTAGCCAAGTAACCAAGCAGGGCCAGCTGAAAGAATAGGAGCTTTAATTTTAATAACACCAGTCCTGCCACCTCAGGCAGATGATGAAAATTTCTGTCACCAGATTATTTGCCCCTTCCCTGCCCTGCAGTTGTATATCATGGGCATTTCTGTGCGTTCTCATACCATCACCAGTCATACTAACTGATCTGTATCAATTTACTCAGTTGTCAGAGAAAATACTGCAATTTATGAAATCATTTCAAACAGCCAGTATGGATCTGATGAAAAGCCAGGTTTATACTTTGCAGTACTCGCTGGAGTCATATTGTTTTTAATCATGTAATGGTTCTGCTTTTTCATCCCCAGCAAGCCCACTGCTACTCATAGTGGCTGTCATCATACATACAATCCAAGAGCTGGACAGTTCGGGATAACATACTATTCATTGTAATCCTAAAACCCAGACCTTATAAAGGTCTGCTGTACAGATTTCAGATATAGAGTTTTGAGCAGGAGTTTTCATTTGTTACTTTTTAAAAAACAAATAGGAACAACAACAAAAAAAAAAAAGGCAAGAATAAATGTAACGGGCACTTAGGAGCAAAGCAAATGCAAAATCCTTTTGTATAATTAGATGCATGGGAGTTATTCATCTCCCTTGCCTTCAGCTTACCTAGAATTTAGACATCTAGTCCAGACTAATAATTTGTGCTTCCTGCAGCCTTGAGGAAACAAAAGCTTCCTTCTGGAGGCTGTCACATCCTCAAAAAGGGCAAATGAGTCTCTCCAGGGATGGCAGACCGTCTGTAACCACAGGGCGAGTCTAAGATTACCTACCACTTACACAGGTGAGACAAGTCTCTCTCTCTCAGTCCTCACATAAGCCACTAACACAAATCCTGAAGGCTTTGCTTGGCTCCCACCTGGACAAACCCACCAACTTCAACAGGGCAAGGGTTTGCTTTTATGTTTTTGGGAGGCAGAGGGGAAGGTTCGTTGGCAGTCCAATCTCACGCCAGTGTTGCTCTGACCACTTGCACTAGCTGCTCAGCCATGATGGCTCACGGCCAGTTTGCCCACGTACAACCAACCAGCTGGTTATGCAGCATCATGCAACAAGGGCAAAGCATGCAACATGTTCTCCTAATACACAGAGATGCATCACAGTCTACACCCTCCTCAAGTCGGGCAGTGGAAGGGGAGGTGCTGATCTCCTCTCTGGTGACCAGCAACAGGACACAAGGAAACGTAATGAAGCTGCGTCAGGGGAAGTTCAGATGGGACATTAAGAAAAGGATCTTCTCCAAGAGAGTGGTCAGTCACTGGAACAAGCTCCCTTGGGAAGCAATCATGGCACCAAGCCTGTCAGAGCTCAAGAAGCATCTGGACAATGCTCTTAGTCATATGGTTTAGTTTTAGGTAGTCCTGTGCGGAGCAGGGAGTTGGACTCGATGATCCCTATGGGTTCCTTCCAACTCAAAATATTCTATGATTTTAAGTTGAAGTAACTCAACTTTCTCCTAGACACCAAACTAGCTCTGCTGTGCCTTCACGGGCATGTGTGTTACTTGACCACAATCCTCCAAATTTCTCCTGCGACTACAGAGGTTCAACAAGGACTAGAACTACTTTGTCAAGTAAGCATAGGCCTTACGCACACATTAAAGTTATACAGCTTTACACACATACAGCTTTACACTGTGTGTAAAGAGTAGAGCCCACCCAGTAGGACAATCTTTATCATCTATAGGATCATTTACTCTAGTATACCTTCTTACAGCATAGAAAGGACAACAAGATATATTGTCAAATTCACCCTCATATCAGCATAAATTATTTTATTTTTAAAATTCTAACTATAACAAGGCCCTAATAAAGAGTTATTTCTGTTCAAATTTAATCAAGCAAGAGCTACTGAAACACTATGAGGACTTTTGTATGTAATTCATTATGAGCAAGATTTTTTTTTTTAAATAAGCAAACAGTTCTCAGTCCCTAACTCTGGGAGCAAAGCTACCTCTACCCTTCCTTCACACTCCTGTGTTTCAGCATTGCTGTGTCCCCTGAATTATAGGGCTATCACATATAAGTTGGTATGGTACAGGCTACACTCCTGGGAAATCCAAGGTCTTTTTTAAACACTTCTCATCAGGTCAGCTTCACCTCTCTGAGTTGCATGACAACAACAGCCAACATTGGGCCAGTATTACAAAACAGGATGAAAAAACACAGCCAACATACATCTTCCAAAGCACTTCCCACAAAACAAACCAAACAGCTCCTGGTACACAGGGTCATGTTGGTCCCACCTACTCACAAAAACAGCTGGAATTTATTCCCTGTTTTGGAAGGCAGCTATAACTGCGTGGCCACAACCTGGATACCTCAGTGCCCAGGGCCAGGGGCTCCCCAGCTGCCCCCCTCCAGACTTCAAAGCTAGGGAGGCGATACAAGCACCAATGCAGGGTCAAGCTTGACGTGGCGTGACCTTCCTCCCAAAAGGATGGCATTTCCCATCCTCCACAAAGGCATTTCTTCCCCCAAAGCTCCCTCTGGCCTCTCTGTCAGACCTCCCTTCTCTGTCAGGAGACCACTTACAACCTCCTCCTCTAAGCAACCTGGTCCTCAACCGAGAAACCTCAAGTTCCTTCACTTCAGGTGGAGGCACTGCTGTGTCCTAAAGTCTGGGCATCCTTTTTGGAGAAATGCTACAATTCACAGAGCATCCAGGACAGCCAGTTGAGCAAGATCGTGCCTAAGCAGGCACTGGTCCTCAATTAGCTGAGTTGGCTGAAGGTCTTCCCATTGTAACACAATTTTTCTATTCTAGTATTATTTTTGGTGTAAAAAAAAAAATGGTGGGGATGGGTGGGTTTTTTTGTGCAAAACTTGGTGCTTTTAATGAAAAAAAGGTTGCTTTTCTCAATGTTTTGCTGTTTACTTCTGTTGGGAAAACTTTTTGGTTTTGTCAGAAAAATATCAGTCCATGTCTGTCCGAATTCCTCCAGTGTCAGCTGGGAGCTGTAATTCACGGGCTCCATGTCCCCCTCTTTCCCAGAAGGATGGACTTCTGGGCACCCCTCCAGCCTTCATGACGCATTCCCTCTTTGACTAACCCATGGTAATGGCATCATGGGATCTGTAACCCAGCCAAAGAGCTCGGCCCCAAGGGAGACACAGCACACAAGGCACTTCAATGGTAATTTCTGAGGTCTGCAACAGTAGCTCAAACTGATGCTGCTTTAAGGGCCAAATGGATTTAATTAAATGTTTCCATTTCAAAAGGCTAGAACATTTTATTCAGTGTTTTCCAGTTGACAATTTTTCATTTTTTGAAAAATTTCCATTCCAGGAAAATTTTTGGTATTTCAGCTTTCCATCTCAATTCAGGATGAAATTAAATGTTCAAGTATCAGAATTTGATGCTATATGGACATTCAGTTTGGGAAACAGCCTTATTAGCTGCCAAAAGTGAAATGACTCCATCCATGGAAGAAGGGTGTGATCCAGCTTGCCTTTGACATCAGTGGAAGCCACTTTTTCAGCTTAGTGGAGCCTGGATGGCATCCCAAAAGATCAAGGGAGGGTGGAGTTGACCACAGTTGCAGATATTGGAAACAGGAGACAAGAGTGAAACAGCACAAATGTAAGAAGCAGCAACTGAGATGATCTGTTACCTGGACTCAATCAAAAGTCAAGTTTTACTTACTTTAGTAACAGGAGGAAAATCTTTAAGATAAAACCTAATTCCCAGTTACAGTAAAGATAGCAGTTAATCAACACTTTGTAGAGTAGCACAAATCAATAGTATGAATTTGTTATGAGCTCTATAACTTTTAATGTTCAAAACATTTCTTCAGAAAACCTTCATATACTCCATTCAAGGAGACTACTCTAAAGCTAAAGATATGATATGGTACTGAACTGCTTGCCTCAGGTTGGCTATCCCCCCTTGAACCCCACAGAGTTGTTCTGTTGGATGGGTATTACAGAAGCTGTCAGGAGGGACCAAGGTCTCTGGACTTTGAGCACATCTACAGATGGAGAACAGCTAAGAGCAGGCTTCCAGGGTGACACTCTAGGTGAGGATTGAGTACGAAATCCATCCTCTGCATTGCCCAGTCTGTTTTTGGATGTAACTCCAAGACTTCCACCTCAAAGAGTAAAAGAGGGCTCCCAGGGATCCTATGTCCATCAGCAACAGGGTGTGTGTTGAAAGCAAGAGAGCACTCAGAACAGTAAATAAATCAATTCATCCAACCATGAGGGGTCTAGAGAATTGGTTTTTGTTTATCTTTCATTTCCCTTTAGTACAAGGCAGATGTTTCTAAGTAACAAGCAGAAACCTTGACAATTTTTAAGGCTGAAGAGGAAGGGAGGGATGGAGGAAGAAACATGTACAAGCTTTGAGGATGCTCTCAGCTCCAGGTTCAAAAAAACCAAAACCAAAACCACACACCACCTAAAATGTATATCTGTAAAAGCAAGTTTTCCTTAAGCTGCTTGGTAATTCTTAGTTCATAGGAGTATTTTATCCAGAAGGTTCTTCATGTTTCCAGTCTAGGTTGTAGTAATCTCAGTGAGGCACTAAATTTTAGGCTGTTAAAGTCTTTCTGTGCAGCACGGTCATTTTAAAATGATGTGGTAGCCATCATTGCTTTCAGCTGTAACAAAGAAACGCAAAGCATTTTTTTCATCGCTTTTAGAAAATGGCACAGATACAGAACTCCAGATTTTCTTCTTAGGTAGTTTGCAATAGTTTGTACTCTTGTTCCACAACCCACTCATGAAAATCAGTGTTGAACATCTAGGTCAAAGCATTTACATACAAAAATACAACATACTAACTGTCATCTTTTATCATTTTGCTAGAAGGTTTTCTGCTCATTTATGTCAGTTGGTATCAATGGATTTATGAAAGTTTTATAACAGTGTAACTGAGAGGAAAGCATAGATCAATCAGCCTATCAGTGTAAGTTGATGCAACACCTTGATTTACACTAAATTAGGTTACTTATCTTTTCAGGATAACAGCACCAAGTTTGTGATAACGTTTAGTGCAATTGAAAGGAGAAATTATCTTTAGAGCCACGTGTAATAGCGGCAGCAATACATACCTTTTAATGTGCTGATGACAAAACAAGATTCATCTTGGAAGTTTTGCACCATCTGAAGGGCAGAAGGAAAAAAGCCAACACAAAATATTTTTATTCAAGTTTCTTTCTGTGCTAGTATAGACTTTAGAGGAGAGGTATCAAAAAGCATTTGGTGTCTACTCCTACATAGTCCTGAGTAACCCTGCCCAGAAGATTATTAAAGTACATGACTGATTAATTAAGGTCCTTGCAACTGCTAATGTGCTTAAGAGAAGCTTTACTAAAGTGCTTGCCTGGAACTGATCTAGCTGGTTCAGCATTTTAGCACCCTCTCCGCAGCTCTTGGTCCTGCAAGTTCTTACACCTCTCCAGTGTGTACATGCTATTAAAGACCGTGCTATTAATTGCCTTCAGTGAAGCTATACTAGTTTAGACTGGACGAAGACAGTCCCTCTCCTAAAAATCTAACAATGGTAATACAAATTCAGCTGAATGATGAAGCTCAATTGAGCTTACATTAGCATCTGAAATAATATCTAGAGGTGGTCAGCCCTGAAAAATGGACTCCTTGCTGAATAAAAGAATATTGCTACTGAAAAGCCATCTCAGCAGCGTCCACCTGGTTATTTTGACCAGACATTAGTATAGATGCTGTGCTTGCAGGAATCATGTACCTGTTTGTATATTGTCAAGGTGCAGGAATCTTAATAAAACTGCTATGAGAGGCAACGCAGATCATGAGAAGCAAGATTAGTATCTAAAGCTATTTGAGTTATTCATGAGAAACAACTAGACTTCAGAACATGTGGAGGTTCCAGTGAGGCTCCTAACTAAAGAGGTGAGTTAAGAGATTCAGTTGACTTCAGATCCAACCTGAAATGCTCATTTAAGCTTCATCCTTAGTCAATGCTTCCTCCCATCTTAGAGTAGCTGTGTGGGACAGAGGAGGTGATTTATCTTCAGGAGGTGTCCCATACAGATGAAGCAGACGCTGGACAGAGGGGAGGTGACCAGAACAACTCTGATCAGCTCAGAAAATCCAGCTTTAAGCAATAGCCTTTTCCTAGCTATTGAATATCATTCAAGTACAGCACTTTCCAGCTGTAAGTTCTCACACCAAATATCCTTGTGAACTTAAAAATAATCTCCCTATTCTCTTTTGGTTTTAACATCCACCCCTCAACTCCCGCAAATGAAACTTCACTGGCCAGTCTGTGTGTCTATGCCTAATGATGCATGAAGTACATTCATAGAGTGCCTTACTCTTGCCACTATAGTACTAGAACAAGAAAAAAAATAAAAAAGCAATAGACATTGTTAATAATTGACTTAAATAAATACTTAAAGCCTTATACCCAAGCTGGTTCATGCAATTCCCCTAACAAGAGTTGCCTCCAAGCACTTTACATCCATAAAGCATCAAGGTTTCAGATTTAATCAGGCTGAAATAGCAAGGAGACTTTAGGAATAAGCATTACAGCCTTCAATTTAGGCTCCAGTTGAGACCTATGCTCTGCTTCATTTGTTTTAACAATGTTTCTTATAAATGAAGCTCCTTAAGGGATTCTGGTGCATGAATGAGTAAGTAATTTAGTGAGGGGAAAAGACGAAGAAGGGCAACTCACTATTAACCTGCAAGTTAATGGAATGGACTAAATTAAGCCATCGTATAGTGGGACACAAACAGCTAGCAGAGGTCCATTAAACTATTGTGTGCACTTACACAGCACTGACTCGGACCCAGTGGCTGTAATGACTAGCCAAGATGCAAGAGTAATTGCCCTACAGATTTTCAAATTTGCTTTCTTTAGGAAACTTTCCTATTTAAAGGTTCTCACTTTAGATCCTCACTTCAAAATTTGTTGAGGTAGCAACACAAAAAGGAAATGACCAATTTTATTGTTTTGTTTCATTTAAAAAAACCAACTCTTTTACAAAGCAAAGATCTTAAAACCACACCAAAATCAATAGTATGCATGAACAGTTTGCTTTAAGTATTTCCTTTAACTTATTGGGATTAGTAACCTTGCAAAACTTCCTTGAAGATTCATTCCATAATTTAAAAGGTCATTCCAACTTCAAGAAGTCAGACAACTGCTACAGCTCTGACAGAATTTGCGTTAACCCCTTACCTCGTTGCTCACTAATACGTGGATCCCTGTGGGTCCCTGCCGATAGATTCGATTTATCTGCTGTGGAGAAATGCTGTACAAGTTTGCAATCTTCTCCATTAACTCCAGTGTGGTCAATTCTTCCAAGAAGATCGCATGATATACTGCAACAAGTTGAAAGTAATTACAGAATTATAATTATAGAATAGCAACTACAGATAACACCAAGGTGCTCAATATCAACAATCAAATTGGTTTAAGATCAAGGTTCAAATCTTGACAGTAGATAAACAAGCTTAGTACCTTTAAAGCAGCCCCCAAATATCCAGCTTGATGATTTGTAGAAAAATACCCAGTATTTGGATGCAGCGGACAAATAAAGCACATGTCACTTTTACCCAGAGGAAAACACAGGGACTAATGACAACATGTATCATTAGGGACTAAGAAAACACTCTCTCATAAAGATGTTAATATTTTTCGATAATCTACTTTTACTGATTTTGACATTTTAAAGTAGATCCAATTAAATAGTAAACCACATGATATTAATAAAACACTACTTTTGTGTAACTTAGATGTTAACGCACAGATCCCATAGGCAAAAACTAAAGACTACAACGCATCAAAAAACTGTAGAGGACAGTATTATTTTTTAAATCCAATCCAAATGGTAGAAACAACCAGGTAGGAAAACTGTGTCTGGTTAATACTATGTGCAAGAACTAAGGACAATCTCTATTCCCATTTGATTGTACATCACGTCACGAGGGATAGTTAACAAGCAGTGAGTCCCCAAAAGCTTCAAACTTCTGAGAATCAGAACCCCACTTTAAGACACACCAACCTTTTATCTCCCAGAATATTTTCAAACAGGTCGTAATCTAAAGCAAACTGTGGATGGGAAGATAGTTTTTAATGCTATGGTCCCTTATCAAGAATTGAATAGAGATTTTGCTGTGGGATCCTGAGATAGCTTGTAAATTAGGTCTGTTCCCCAGGCATACAATACCAGTTGGAATCTGTAGCCCTGAAATTAACCAAAGTGGCAGAACTGGGATAAACAGGACCTCTTTAAACACTCAGGACACCAAGCGATCCCATGCAGGAGCTCAGGCAGAAAGCAGCATTCTCACCAGATAAGTGTTTTACAAAAGCCTTATGTGAAAACTTACCACAAAGACTGCCATCTCCATTTTCTCGTTTTTGGTGGAGATGGGACCTGTTTTGCTCCGGCTCTTGACAGACGTAAATTGTCATCTTGGGCCTTACATTTCTATGGATTATTAAAAAACAGGAGTTATTTAGTAGATCTAAAATTATTCCAAGTCAGCTACCAAACAATGAGAGATGGAATCATTCAGACTGTGCAAAAATAACCAGCTAAGGGATAGTCTTGATGCTGGTGACTAGATGTCTTAGTAGGTCTAGTAAGACCCCTCTGGGAGGTGGTGGTACAGTGCAAAGCACCTTAATCTCTTCAGAATCAAACAAGAATAAACAGTTTACAGCACTTGCCAAGCACTTGCCATACCTGCCTTTACTGATTTGAATCCTGCCCAGTTGTAGAATTTATGATGTTATTGCAATAAAAGTAAGTTTAAGAGTCATTTGAGGCTCCAGGGGTTGGTTGGTTGGTTTGTTGTTTGTCACCTGTGATGGAAATGCAACACAGGGTATCGTAGACTGTGTCTTATATGAAGTGGATGGAAGCTATCACCTGGTAGCAAATAAACCACTAGAGATCCACATTACCCTGCTTCATTTCAGCAACATTTCTGAGCTGTGCTTGGATTTGAATACCATTGTGATCTCCAGCCTCTGAGATGGACTTCTCTGAAGTGTTAAAAGGAAGTCTAAATGCTACTGCTCCAGGATTAACTTCTGGTTAACACTGAAATTACCAAGGGATGCTGCCATAACAAAAAAATAGGAAGGAAGAAGTACAAACCTTCCTTTGATTGCATTAAAGAGCCGAATTCCATCAGCAGGCCCACAGATTTGAACAAAATCTTCTTTGGACATCTTCAGTAAGTCAGCACCTACATATTTCAAATTGATTTTTTTTTAGAAGTTAAGCAAACCTTAGCTTCCAAATTGTGTGTATGGGCAGCAGGAAAGGGCAGGGGGAGAGAATCCACAAAGCTAAATCAGACAGATTTGCCTAGAGAAGTTGCAACTTCATAGGGGCGTACACTGCAAATCAATCATGGTGAAACAGAGAGCCAGAAGCTGCCAAAAGAGCAGTGATGCACTTGAAGATATTCTAGCCAACTCAGAGACAAGCTAGATAACATCGGCCATTAAATGGCCCAATTTTCTCTAATTGCCATGTTCACCAGGTTAGTTAATCACGTTGCAAGTCAGACAGAGGCTCCTCAAGGTTTCAACATTTTTAACAATTCCCCCTTCCACCATCTTACTGCCGTGTACAACTACGTAACAGGAGGGTACAGTGAAGTCGGAGCTGCAGATGAAGCCAGACGCTTCTCAAAGGTGCACAGGGACAGGACAAGAGACAGCAGACAGAAGATGGAAGATGAGAAATACTGATTAGGTATAAGAAAACACTTTTTCACTGTCAGAGTAGTCAAGTATTTGAAGAAGTTGCTTAGAGAGACTGTGGAATTTCCAACCTTGGAGATACTCAAACACAACTGCACAAGGCCCTGGACCTGCTTCAAGCAGGGGGTTGAACTTAGTGAACTCAAGAAGTCCCTTCCATCTTATCTTATTCTCTCACATCTTTACTTATTCTATATTTCTACAAACTGTTTTGGCAAATGCTAACTAATCTAAGAACAAATGAACCACCACACTGGATCAGACCAGTGGTGCTGTCAACAGTGGCCAGCAGCAGATGCTATTGATATAAAGCATGAGCTGCACTTACAAAAGAGAATAAAGACAAAAATAATTGGACTGTTTAAACTCACCCGAAAAACTTGAGAAGAGTCTACAGAATGGAGAGAACCTATTACGATGAAGCCACTGCTGGGCATCTTGAATAGAAGCAGAAGGAAGGAGATGCTACATTGCAAAAAGAATAAGAAGGTCTTGAAATGAACTGTTCACCAGTGTCCTAAAAAAAGAAAAGCACCACATTAACATGATCTCAAGTACTTACATCATTGCTGGGAGGCAGGAGCTCCACTTGGTGGGTTGGAGAACTGTTGCTAAAAAAAATTATATAAAGTTGGAAGAGAAAAAAAAAAAACATTATTTTAAATTTTTCATTGCAGTATCCATCCTCTTCCCCCTCCTCCATTTGATTTAACTGTCACAAGTTTCACACCAATTTGGCTTATTTCTCTATCAGATTTTTAAAAAGGTGTCCAAAATCTGGACCAAGAAAAAAAAATCTCTGCTTGAGCCTTTTGTTGGTCAGTTGAGGTCCTACTCAACACAGAGAAAAAACTCAGTTTACTGACCTCATTCAAGCTTTTCCATACTAATGTGACACCATCTAAGCAAGGAAGTTGTGACCTACAGGGTGGCTGAACTCAAAATTTCTATGAGACAGAAATCCCCTCACTAAATCCACTGTCTAATAATGGTTCTTCACAAAAATTGAACACAGGACCTTGTAATTCAACTCTGGTGTTATCTTAAACATAATAAATTGCAATTTATCTATGTTACAGAAAACCACATTTCTAGTAAATCCTCCTAAAACATAAGACAGGACCTTCAACACATCAAGGATTTTCCCAAAGAGTTAATAATCTACAACTGGTAGAAAACGCTCAACAGATCTCTCTACTAACACCAATTTTTGTCATTTCAGTGTTTGTCCTTATTTATAGGTTGAGGTTGCTCATTGAAAATTTGTGATACAACATTGATTAATTAATAAGCTGTGCAGGAAGGCGACAAGGGTGCAGAGTCCTAGAGGAGGAAAAGAAAGGCCTATGCCAAATTTGTAGGGGAAAGTATGTTTCAGGGAAGACTCAGAAGTACCAAGGGACCCTGCTGTATATTTTTGTCATCAGCTATCATCTTGGGTGTTTCAGGACCACTAAAACTGTTTCTTTATGATGACTATATTAATGAATTAAACATGCCTCCTGTTAGTCCTTTGTTCTGGAACAGCTTCTCAAAACTCAGGTTGTTTTGCCCCAGCAGGAATTCTTTACATCCTATTCAGCTGGGAATTCAGCACCCCAAACTACCTCAGGACAGAAAGGAAGAGATATCAACTCTGAAGAGGCGCTGAAGGTTGAAAGCCTTTAACACTCTTGTCAGAAGATACTGGGAATTGCTGGTACAGGGCATGGTGTGTTCTCTGACCCCCACAGAAGAATAAGAGAGGAAATTCACAGGAGGAATTGCCCTGGTGGTCCTCTGATGCTCACCTCCCAGCCCCTACATAAGCAGCGGACAAACAAACAGTACTCTGCATCACAGGGAGTTCCTGGGTGGAAGGTCTTAAAAGGCTCTGTGGGAAATAGTTTCCCCTCTCTAGGAAGGGTGGTTCTTGACCTCTTCTTCCAGACTATGAAATGCATGGACACACAAAACACATGCACACAAAGGCTGCCATATCAACAGGAAAAATAAAGCATTTATTTGTTACATACCCATCTCCAAGGTTGAAGCTGTTGGGAGAACTGTTGTAGCTTGGAGATGGAGCATTGTTCATTTGATAAGGCACATCTGGCCATGGAGAGCACTGTTGGAAGAAAGGCAGAGGCATACTTTCATAAGGATGGAAATAAAGGATTCGATTTTCCTCTCATACCACATTCATGCTGTTGCCACGCCACTGACTTCAGCTCATCACTCCTGCTGGGAGGAGGAGATGGGCCATGGTTTTTCTATGCTGCTCTCCAAGCGGGCTGTCAGGGGCCAGATTGATTCCAGTTGTGCATTCCACATTTCTCCCATTTCACAAAGCCTGTCCCCAAATAACATTGGGCCAAAGTGTGCACAGCTGTAAGTCAGAGCAACGCCAGTAAGTTAACTCAGACTGAAGGCAGCAATGATACAGAAATACCCTGGTCTCAATTATAAATCCATAATTAAATCCAGGCAAGAGTGATAAATACACTCCAGTGGCATTGCTTCAGGTTTATAGCAGTGAAAGAGCAGAATCTGAACCAGCCTGCTAAAACCTCTGGCTGTTAGTCGAAGAACTCGAGTTATAAATGGGTACTACATGGAGAAAATTTAAGATAGACAGACACAAAGCTACTGAAGGCCTTCACAAATATAGGTCAAACTCATATCACATTACAGTTTTACTCAACTGTAGAATTGGTGATTCTGTGTTGAATTTAAGCCACTGTAATCAGTAGGAGAAATCTAGCCCTGTGGAACCCCCCACCCTCAAGAGCTCAAGAAAATGCTCTGTAGTATCCTTGTTTGCAATGATAAAAAGACAACAAGTGTAGCTTCGGAGTTTTATCATCTCCACAAATACTAGCAAGTATTTTATCACCTCCACAAGCACTAGCAAATATATAACTCTTTGGCAACCCGTATTTCCCCATGCAATATGTCAAAGTGCATCAGAGCTCACAGGGAGAGTTTGGGATCTGCTAGCTCAGTAGAATTAGGGCTGAGTACACAAGATCCTTGTTAACAACCACCACATTGAATTAGAAAACATGCTGGTCTCTCCAGGCAACATGAAGAAAATTGAGTGGGAGGGTCTGGATCTCACAAACAGGAAGTTTATTTAAATTAAGAAAAAGCCCTCATTTTTAGAAGTCCAGTAAGCCACTTCAAAAAAAAAAACCAAAAAACTAAATCAAACGACAAGACATTCCCATAGGGAGACAGAACAGCACTTTTAAACCACTGTCTTGAGTCCTATTTCTTAGTAATTCTGCAGCCTGGGGTAAGTTTGTATGTACATCTCAGTAATGGCAGGGAGGGTAGAAACACATACATCTCTACACCAGATGCATCAGAATATGACATTCGAGACATTCCTAGAGTATAAGCCAGAATCTTCTGAGATGTTGTATGTAATAGTAGCTTCATAGGCAGATTCATAGAAAAACAGACTAATAATTTCATCAGACAGCCTATTCATCTGTTCAAGTGCCCCATCTCCAACATGAGCTTTTGCCAGACAGTTCTGAAGAAAATGCCTCATACAACTGGCATCTAAGTGGCATGACAAGTGCCTAGGAGCATGGCAGAAGATAGAGAAAACATTTCTTTTAAACCCAGGCTGTTAAGGGTTGGTTTATACCCTGAAACTTAAGAAGTTTATAAAAGATGCCAAAGTTTCAACAGTGAGAAACATTTTATAGTTTCACTCTGCTCTCAATTTCAATCAGATCTGGGCATACGCATCTCCACAAGACAATCTCCAGGGCTCAGTCAGATTGCATTTTCTCTCAAATCTATCTGCTGAAGTAGAATGACGTGTCTAAAACACTTTACCTCTGTGAGAATAGTTGTCTCGTAGGAAGGCTGATACTTCTCCTTCTCTTGGGTGGTCTTCTTCTCCATTTTTTCCCTGTCAGTCTTCTGTTTTCTGTCTGCTCCTTTAGGCTATAAGCACAAGCACAAGCTTTCCCTTCTGCCAAGTTTTACAAGTTTGGAGACAGAGGTCAACAGAATTTTTTTCTAATCTGTTCACAAAAGTCTCCTTAAGATTTATGGGAACTCTACATATGGAACAAGATCAGATCTGCATTTTCTAGACAAAAAAAAAAAAGTATCTCTACTGTTTCTATAACATCCCCCATTAATGTCTACTGCAATTCCAAAATAGGTTGACCACAGTCCTGGGATTTGATACCAACTATTTCAGACCACGAGCCCCATGAGTTATGCATCTCAGCTGGTACTTGTACCTTCTTTCCAGGAACAGTAAGGACACTGCTCACAGGAGCAAAACTGGAGCTGCAGATCCTTTGAGAAAACAGGCTTATGAAAAGCTTGTTGTTAAGTGGCTACAGGTCTGCCATGCCCAGATTAGGAGCTTCAGAGATACTTTCTCTCTGAATCTTTCTCTCCTCCAGGTAGCATGGAGAAGTAGTCTGCTGCAACAAGTAAAGGGTATTTAAGATCTCCAAGATACACTCTCATTGTTCATGGAGGATTGAATCAAAGAAACTGGAGATGCCATAACGATTTGATTGCCTAGGAGCATCAAAACACAGTGGATACCCTAAGTATCTCAGCAGTTGTATAGTGTTCAAGGCACAGAGGACTGGAATAAGTCTTGGTGCAGTACTTGGGTCATTTGAATGTAACTAGAATTGCTGCATAGTTCAAAGTTTATGTCACTTTGTGTGCAAGAGTCCTGCATAAGATCTTAAGCATACCCAGTTAAAAGCTGTTCTTGTACTCCACTATTTGCATCACCTCTACACAATTTAAAAACTGTGCATGTTCCTGTGTCTTAATCTAGTTGATGACAAAGCCAAAACTACATCATACCTTGAACACTTTGATCTGGCAGCTTGCAGAATGCAAGTGTTCTGTGTATTCACCGTTTTCATTCTGCTTAAAGGTGTCGATTTGCACCCGGAAGGGCACCCCTTTCTCTCCTCCATGTTTCCGTGGAGTAAATTCTGTGCTGATGCAATGTACCTGGCAAAACAAAAGCTGTGCTTATCTCTGGAGACAGCTTCCGAATTTCAGATTTTGCCTGAACATGACGTTTCGGCTCCTCCTGAGAAACCAAGGGAGGCAGAAGAGTTCATATGTTTTCATTTCTGTTCCTCAGGACAAAACAATTAGAAGAACAAGCAGCCCAGAAAGAAAGAGGGCATCAGGAAAAGCATCCTTTGACTTAAGTAAATCCCACATACAGATTAAAAACAGATAGTTGGCGTTTGGGACAAGAAACACTCAAGAAAGAGGAAAGCAGGCAAGACTAACAGGTTGTGAACAGTTTCCTCCAGAAAAAAAACTATGCTTAGAAAGCAACATCAATTCTTCTTTTAAAAAGAAAATCCTAGCTGTAAGCAGGTAGTGCTCCCAAGCTAGCAAGTAGCTAGCAAGTTGGTTTAGCAAGTATCCTACAAATAAATTATACATGATTGTCACTTGAGTTTGCATATTATCACTAGCATCTTTCTCTCTTCTTCATGTTCTGGCTCCTTAACTCTCCAGGTCTTTGTAAGATATCTCACCTTTGTATTAACCACAGGAACATCACTTCTTTCTTACCTGAATGAATGCTGAGGCTCTCTTCGACGGATCCCACAGAAATTCAACAGTGTTCAACTGGGTTGGGCTGGCCCTGGGATCCAAGATACCAACTGACAGCGGAATATCTGTAGAAGAAAACCCCTAAAATTTTAAAAATATTAAATTGAAGAAGAGAAAGCATTTCCATACAACTACAAGATGCATGTGAAAAGCCAAGCCACCAATGATATATCTGTCTGGGACCTATAGTGCTAGATCTCCTTCCCACCCAAAGACATACAGGATTCCTAAGAGAGTAGGATATAAAAAAACCTAAACACACATGCAAACACTCCATATATCATTCAGCACCTGGCTTCCAAACACTGCACAGGAACCATAATGAAATAGTCTCACCTATATCAAGGATTCGGTCCCCAGGCCGACTCCACCTCCAGCCCTCAAGCTGCTGATGCTCTGTGTACTGCAGACGTCGATCATGGAAAACTACACGAATTATGCTCTGTTAAGAAAAGATAGCAAGATCAATAATGTGCTCCAGAGGTCCTTCTCTTGAGATGACTTTGGTTTTCCAGCGTAGAAGCAAAAGCTGATCTGTTATGTTTCACACCCTCATTCACGAGGAGAGTAGAGGGTCCACCTAAGAGACCCATCACCATGTTTATCAAATTCCTAAGGGACCCCTGAGTGAGAGAGCAACACACTTCCCCTTCACAGGGCACACCTACTGCATAACGCAGCCCTCTACAGCTTTCTGGGATTCGATCTGGAAGCACTATAGCAATGTCCACCCAATCTTAGGTGTCGTGCCACCTAAACATCACTATACTGCCTCCACACCCAAAATGGCTCACATGGGATATTTAATATTTAATGTGTCTGTACCATGCCCCAACTTCAGTATATCCCACTCTGATTAGCAAATATGAAAGCCAGCTCACCTGTCACTGCACCGGTGGAGCTGACATGCCCAGACACCTTGTCAGCGGGAATTAGACTTGATTCCAGCCATTAACAGCCAGTCATTGCCCCAGTGCAGTTAAGCAAGTGTAGAATAGGAAAGCTTCTGTAACAGGAGAATTTTCATCTCTGGTCTGCAATGGTGCAGCCATGTCAATAACTGGAGAAAAAAGGCTGGAATAAGGGCAATCCCCAGGGCAGACAAGTCCAAAGTCCTCTTAACTAATATATCCTTTTGTATATTCAGAGTGCTACACTAGCGTGAGTTATTGACCCCTTACATCCCAGTTTCTCAAGTCCATGCTCCTGCTGGGGACTTCCTTGTTGCATGAGTGAGCAATTTTTGCCAATGAACCTGAGAAATGCCCAAACCAAACCCAAGATCCAAGAAGCAAGCAAATCACAGGGAGAACGCCTGCAAAATTGGAATCCCAATCCACATGCTTCCTGAAACGGGCCAAAAGATGATCAGGGAACTGCCTAAACTTGTACAACGTTTGAAATCCAGATTGGAATCCAAATTTTGCAACTAGTCCCCACTTCTCGAAAGAAATCCTGAGGCAGAACAGCCAAGAATTGGGGAGAGGAAGGCTTAAAGTTTAGACCCAGAACCAAAGTCTGGACAAAAGTTTTTGAATTTGAACTGTTTGGGGAGGGGGGAAGCAACAAAAAATCCCCCAAACCAAACAATCAAGTTCTGTATGTTCATAATTATGCCCATTACCAAAGTAAACTGGAGCTATGCAGAATCTGCATGGCAGAACGATGTAAACACCAAGGTCCTCCATTTGACCGGTAACAACCCAGGCATGTTGCTGGGGTTAAGAAGGGAGACAAGTCTGCCTCTCAGCAGTTTTGACCACATTCACCTCTGAACTTTGGGATTCCCCTGAACCCAATATTCACAGTGAAACTCTGGGGTCATGACCACAAACAGAATAAAGATTCCCCTGAAGCCCTGTAAAGCCAAGCTGCAGAGTCCCGTGAAACTAGCACTCAACAACTCCATCAGCCCTGCTCCCATTAAAAACAATGGCAAAGTATTTTCCATTGTCTCAGTGTGAGCAAGGTCAGGCCCTTCATTAGAGGCTGTATGTAGTAGCAGGAAGAAAAGAAATCTAATATTTCTCCTTACCTTTACATATTTTGTGTTTAAATCTTGAAACTCTCCCAATTTCCTATTCTCAAGTAGACGGATTTCATAAGACTGACCTAGAGTTTAAGGAAACATTTCCAAGGTGTTTAATATGTTGTAGCAATGAGAGAGTCATGCTGGCATTTACGTGGCTAATAAAGCATAAGTTTGATCAGGGAAAGCTCATTTTTGGTAACATAATGCATTTGCCCCAGTAATCGAGTAGGCACTAAAGCACAGCAGAAATCTGAGGGGAAGGTTTGTCTTTTGGCAGCTAAAAGCTCTCAGTTAGGGCATCGATCATAGTTTGTCTTCCAGGGCTGCTACAGGTTTCTGGTCACCCTTCAGAAAGCCACCAAGGTGTTCAAGGCAGTTGTCGCCCGGTATCATGGGGCTGTAACAGCACTGCCTTGGTCTGTCCCTTCTGCTGAAGCAATGGTTGTGTGAAGAGCTGCCAGCACAACAGGTCTAGGCACTATTCTGCAGAGGATAGCAACCTGGGCAAAAACTAGCCTTCTTCAGAGAGCAGTCAGGCCTGTAAGGTGTTTTGGTGAACCAGAAATACAAGATTTGTTCCATAAGGCCTTGAACATGGCTGCCCAAGGCATAAATATTGCTTCAGATACACATGTGGAAGCAGCAAGGGGTATTACAGCATGTGCGAGGATCAGTTCTGGGAAGGGAATTCATACTCCACTCCAGCACACCATCACCACCACCATCCCCCTCAGCATAAGGAATTTAGCCAGTTCAGTAGGATTTATTTAACTGTTTTATGAAATAACATCTCCCTCCACAGCTGACAGCAGACAAAGGAGACTGATGTCTCAATACCTTATGCACAAATGGTTAACAGCACAAAAGCTCATTCTATAGGACCAACTCTTTAAAATAAACCTACAGCCAGTACAGGGGCAGGACAGGACGATTAGGATTAATGAAGCATATGTATACCTTATAGCTAGTTTTTCTCGTTCATCTTGCTACCCTCCCTTTTACTGAAAAACGTACAGGGTGTGACAATGCAGGCACCAAGGAGGCCAGTTTGGGTTTTCTGACTCAACCAGTATCTCCACAGAACCAGCCATGCAAAAAACTGCAAAGCAGATACATCTCCCTCTAATCAGATGCTACCAGCAGAGACAAAAAATGCTATATTTCTGTATCTAGAAATAGAAGACTTATGACAGCAGATGTGTCAGAAGGGCACCGTGTTTCAGGCAGATTCCCTTTTGTGAATCCCAGCTCTTCCAGTTGGCTGTGTGAGTACAGACCATTATCACTACAGCACAGGGATAATTGTGCTTATTCAGCTGGCTGGCAGGAGAAAAAAAAAAAAAAAAGACAAGAAAGGCCATAATGAAGCCCCAAATGTTTGTACAACACTCCTACTGATGTCAACAGGAGTTCTGCAAACAGGAAATGACCCTTGAATCCAGCAAGTGGCTTAGGGCATGGGGAGAGGGGAGAATAAACCATATGAAGTACCAAATTAAGCACTGGAAACACGCATAGATCTTAATCCATCTCTTTGTGCATAAGTAAACCAGAATGACAACAGTGACCTTCCTTTGAAGATTGCTGGGCAACAAAAGGGGATTTTGTAAACCACAGTCCTGACATTGAGGAGGTCTTCCACACTTTAACTCAAGAGACCTTCTAATGTTCCCACTGATACACATTAATATTGTTCACTTGGCAATTTTTAGAGAGATGTACGTATCTCCCCACATAATCAATACTGTTAAATTAGCATAAAAAGATCAGGCTTAGGTTCACAAAACTGGTTTTCTCTCATAGAATCATTTAGGTTGGAAAAGACCCTTAAAATCATTGAGTCCAACCATTAACTTAGCATTACCAAGTCCACCACTAAACCACATCCCTAAGCGTCACATCTGTTGTACTATGTACCTGTGTATATGTTGTACATGTGTATCTATGTTGTATGAAGTACTTGGCTGCTCAATGGCTCATCTGGGAATAGATTTCACCAACTACAGAGTGATACAGTTCATTGCCTCAAGCAAATTTACACAGCCAAGCATCTCTTGCCCTTACAGTTCATTCCCATGCAAATATGAGGCTAATTACTCATTACAGAAAATTAATTTAGGATTTGAGACCACAAGCATCCAAGAGAAAGTAAAATACATCTATGACTGTACTCAGATGGAGTAACAGCGACAGAGAAATTAAGTGGCATGAGCTGTGCTACAGAGGAAGCTATGGTAGAGCCAGAAGCACTGCCAGCCATTCAGCAAGTATCTCAGGAATGAGCAGGTGTTCGGGACGCCTTTGTGCACTGATACACTCCTACTCTTTGGTCAGCATGATTTCCTTATTTGTAGTTTCAATGAGATGAAAGAAAATAATGAGCATAAAAACATGGGCCATGTTCCTTTCAAACTAGCATCAAGCCCTCAAAAACTCTGCACAGCACGTGTCTTCCAGCCACTTGCATGGGATAGGAACAATACTGCAACCTGGCAGGCAGCGGGCACCGCACATCTCCTCCTGATGGGAATGATTCAGCTTGGATGGAGTTAGAAACAGATTCTGCCCACTGGTAAAAAAGAAACTGTAGTGGAGACAGAGTTAATATTAAACGAGAAGTAAAAGAGGAAATAAAATGCTTTGATGAAAGATATGTGGGTCATCTGATGTAAGCCCTGGAACTCCGTTTACGCCATGAAAAACCTCAATCAAAATGGTGTTTTATGCTAACTGCTTTCCCCTTGACCTCTGAATGTTTCACTCCAGTTACTACACAGAACTCTTATCAAAACAAGACTGTTCCCAGCCTAGCTTCAGAAAACATGCAGTTCATTTCCCTCTCTGTGGAACACTATCAGTGAGAATTTGGTCCTAATTTCTTGCAATTCCTTTATATATAAATATTTTGGTATTGATTTTGAAAAATTCATTCTCCCTATAACTCATTCCAGCAAATTCATTGCTTTGTGCCTAATGGTACCCATAATTCACTGGTATAGCATAGACAGAATTCATGTATTTGTACTTTTATAGCACCAAACTGCTTGGATTACATTTTTTCCTTGAAACATAACTTCCAAACCTTGTTTACCCTATGTTTTCCACCATCACTACCAGCAAAATTCCTGAAATGGTGAATTACAATCTCAGCCCTGCAATTATAACAAATGAAGGGAAAAAAAGCCCTAAAGAATCAGTACTTGGATGTTGGAAAACAAGATCTATTTGTAAAATAAAGCAAATAATAGTGACCTAATCTGAAGAAAGCTGAACTCCTTCTGTCATTAGAAGGCAAAGAAGTCACTCAAGGCTCTGGTACACAGATCATCTATGAATCCTGCATCACTGACTCACCAGCACTAGCAGGCATAGACTGACGTTTTTCTGCTAAAACTAAATCAGTAACAGATCATTTTCACTCGGGTATCTAAATCTGTAAAGAAATGTGGCTGCAAGTGTGACTAAAGCAAACTGTATTCACAGTTCCCAAGACAGACTGCAACTAGCTAAGCCCAGAACATACAGCTGAAATACAGAGAGTTCCCCTATACTGAGTTTTTATACCTGTCTCAGATGGAAATATAGATTAATGCAGATTAGGCTACATCTTTCGGAGTCAATGCTTGGTGGTAAAGCTGGAGACAGGGACTATCGATGCTGAGGCCCTGCAATGATTCGAATGAATGGTCTGACTTCGACCAGGGCAGTATCTGGTCCTTAGTTGACAAGGGTTTAACATCCACTGGGCTCAGATGCAAGGAAGAGCCTGAAGAACAGATTTGTGGCAATGGAGAGCAGCGGTGGCTGTTTTAGAGCAGTCTTCCTTTACCAGGATGATATTCATCACTGCTGAATGTTAGACTTAAACCCAGTGCTAAAGGCCAACAACTTGCTGAAACCCTTTTCCTTCCATGCTCTCAACATTGGCCGTAGCTGCACCACCACAGGCAACACAGGTTCAAGATAGCTTCAAAGTTGGTGACCAGCCTGCTCTCTGGTCATGATGTAAGATTGGACACATGGATACAAGGGCACCTAAAGCACCTCTGTCACTCCCCGAAATGAAGAGGACATCCTGCAGACAAATCCCCATCGTAGCTGAGGCCAAAGCAGCCTCCTGCCTGCGCGACACCGTGCTCCCCTCACCCGGAGCTTCCCGCAACCCTTCTTCCCTACCTCAGGCAGAGGACAGAACAGTAATAAATATTTAGAAAACCACAGTAAATTCCTGAGATGCAATTTGTCTCCCAGCTTCACTGAAAGCTTCAGAGGCATCAATAAAAACCTGGGTGGGTGATGATACACTGTAATTTGTATTTTGAACAGACATTCCCTGAGCAACAGCAAATTTATGCAATCTCCTCCTAGACTAGGGTTTGAGTAACTCTGCTTCACAAACAAGAGTAGTATCCAGCAAAGTAGTAACCACCCAGGTCCAGAGAGTTCCTGCTTGGTGATTCATAAAGCAACTGCATCTGTCTTAAAGAGGATTTATAGACTGTTTACTTTAACTTTTATTGTCTTTGGTAATTATGGCACATTAAATGCAGGCATGACCACCTAGTTTGAGGACAAAAGAACTGAGAGTCGTCAATTTGCTATGGATGAAAAACAATTTAGTTCAACATTGAACACCTTCACTCACTGAAAAGGTACGAGCCGTAACAGCTTAACTGATTTCCATTGCTGGAATTTAGTCAGCCATCAGGAATTTTTGGCAATTTCTGATTATAAAGATTATCTTGATTTCAGGCTCAAAGTTACATTTTGTTCAAAGATGATTTGCTACACAACCACAATACCCGGCTTGCTTTTTTTTTGTTTTGGTGTTATGTTTCAAGGGCCACTTGCTCTACACATTTTGTGGTTTTCAGCACGATACACTGATGCGATACACTAATTTCCAATTAGGATGCTGATGTTCCAGAGCAATATGACTCAGGCCTTACTTAATCTAGCCAAGTAGTCTGCTTGCCTTTACAGCAATTAATTAAACCCTAACCTTAGACTAAGCAATATACCCAACAAAAGTCTGTGGAAAGGAAAAAACACAACTGCAGGTCCTCTTTCTCAGAATGGA